AGATCTTTTTCAAAGACAACTGCTACATAGACCCACAGCGATACTGAGTAAGGATGAAATGGGAAAGAAGCCATTTAAAAAATATATATTCTAATTAAACACAGAGTGTAACGGTTTAAGTTGTGGCAGAACTATTTTGGAGAGCTGAAGAGGACAGACGTGCCAGAGATTGTATATACCTCCACAGAATATTGCTGGGTAAATTTTTCTAATCTTGAAATCTAGGAGAATGCCAAAGTTACAGGCTATAATTAGAGTCATTCTGATATTAACATTTTGTATGAATTTAGCATCCTCATCTGTTTATAAAAATAGAGATGCTGCTTATTCTTGCTTTAAGGAAATAAAGTCTAAAATAAGTAATTATAAATAATAATTGCATAGATAAAAAGCCAGATGTCCAGCCATAGATGCAGTGCTCTCCTGAGTTCATGCCTTTGACCCACTACATCACTTCACCAACAGGCTGTTTCTAAATAGGGCCAACTTCCACGGTACTGGTACTTCAAAACATTCCTTCACCACTTCTTTTCTGAAGGGAACATCTCATCGATTTGCAGTTCCACACAGAAGGAACTTGAGTGGAAGGGAAGGGCTACACCAACGTTGCAGCTTGAACGCAGGAGAAAACAGCTGGTGAGCCTGGCTGCTGGCCCTCCGGTCGCACCACGTTCAAAGCCCAGTCACTTCAACTTTCGCGGGTGCAATTTTAATGGCATTTTTTCCAATAAATCCTCAATACATACTAAGCATTGTCTTTGGAAGACATTGAAGTATTAACAAGAGAAAAATTAGTTGCTTAGCAAATTCCTGAAGATTGTTGACTATTAAAACTTTAAAAGAAATACTGCTAGAAGCTCCACTCAGCTTGCACCAACGGGTCTAACTTGGGGGAACCAGCAGAAACATGAAACGCGGGACCAAGGAGGTAGAGAGAGAGATGCAGCCAAGCATCTGCAGCCTAGGAGCGGTGGCAGCAGCTCACGGGAGATAAAAGTTCTATCTTGTTTTTTAATACAAAAATATTGCTTGCTTTTAAAAGTTAATCAGATTAATATTAAATTTCAAAATAGCCTATAGGCAAGGTAATATTTAATGCAATTGTATTTGAAATTTTTTAAATAAAAGCTTCCTTGACACTTTTCCTATTAAACACACACGCAAAAATAAGCACAACAGGGAGGGAGTCATATTTGACTTTTGAGGCTACATCCAGTTGTAAGTACTCCATATCTATTTGTACAGAAGGCTCCACTTTTGCTAGCCAGCAAGGAAACTTGGACTTTTTCATTCTAAACTAAAATCTAGCTGAAAGTTGGAAAAGGAAGGAAGGTTTGTTTTCCTCTTTAGATGAAAACAAGCACACAGGGAAGATGAGCTAACGTGTCCGGAAGGTGCACAGAACTAGAGTTTCAAAGGTGTTTAGGCATCAAAAAATGTAAATCATTGTCCGGGGAGGGTAGTTCAGAAATTCTTGAGTAAACATGTGCAACTCCTGTTTGTTTCTAAAATACCACCTGGCATCCAAATACCTTTCCATTCCTGTTAAAGTGAATCTAAGAGTTCACTAGTACTATTTCCTCTTTTTGCCAAACTTGGTTCACTTTAAAAAAATAACAGTTTGAATTAAAAAAAAAAGCCACACCAAAAAGCAAAGGCTTATTATCTCCAGGTGACTGCAAGGTACAATGTCAGCTCTATACTGGTACACAGCCTAGGGGGGAAAATAACCCGATTAATCAACTGTTATGTAAGAAAATTGCTCAGAATTTGCATCAAAATAAACTAAGATACACCCTGCTTGAGGAAGCATAGATAAGTAATTTACCTTCCCGATTAGTAAAATATATCCTACTCTACAAAAAAAAAATAATAGTCCTTTGCATCACCTGCAATTAAAAAAAGTCAGTGGTCTCAATAGTAGAAGAGGTTATTTTTGTTGGAAGGTTTTCCACCTTAAGACAGTTAATATACCATCTGTCAACTGCTTAAAGAGAGAAGACAGTCCCAGAGAGAAATAGCCTGCACAAAACTTAAGAGTGAGGGAGAGGGAGGGAAAAAAACCACAGATGAACAAAGCGACTGAACAAAGATCAATTGGGCTTTTTACATAACTCATCACAAACAAAAAAAGTCCAAGTGCTCTTCTTAATTCCTGGTCCAAGTCTCTCTACAATGATTTTCAGTTCGATTTACCCTCCCCACAAAAGCCAGCTACTCGACTGAGCCACTCAGCTGTTGCCAGACGGCCTTTTTCCTGATGAGGATGGATCGGACAAGTAGTGACGGTCTAAAACTGCAGCCCTTGTGCTGGGGCTACAGCACGGACTCGCTCAGGTTAGGGACCCAGAAAGTCTCCCCAGCAGCACCGGCGTGCCCAGCAGAGCTCTGCAACAAATGGCCAAGGGTGACCGCAGACTGGAGACTTGTCAAATGGACTACCAACAAGTATAGGAGTCCTAATGGCAAGAAGAAAGACCAAAGGGTTTTACAGAAGTCCTTTCAGCCTCATTTCTATAACCAAATTTTTAGCTCTGTACTTATCTGTCTATACAATTCAGCATTTGAGGTTCGTATTCGTAACCAGAACAGAAAGTCAATAAGCTACCCACTGAGAGCAACCCCACAACCCCAAAAAAAAAAAAAAAAAAAAAAAAAAAAAAATCATTAAAGCCATTTTCTCCTCCTCACAGGAGACACAAAGGTGCAGATGTTCCCATGTGCACTGACATGCTCACAGCTCCAGTGCTCAGCAATAGCTTGGGCCATTATCTATTCTCCCCTCAAAGTAACTGTAGGAAAGAGGCAAAATCCAGATACAGACATCCATCTGTGTGGATCGAGAAGATAAAGCTGTTTTCTGGCAATAGAGACCAATGGGAAACAAAGCAAAAGTGGTGGCAATCACACACTATTGTTCCCTTTCAGATTTTGTGATATTTCTTATTTTGGTTAAAAAAAGGTAAACACAAGTTCCCAAACGGTGGTCACGTGCACCAGTGATGATTCCCCACACACGTCCACCACTGGTACTTCTGCCCTTGGGAGTACCTTGAACAAACCATCCCAGTGCCCAGCCCGATGCAAATCGCTGTAACACACAGATTACTTCTCCTCCTCTCAAAACCTCCTTGTTTCTCACGGTTCTCACGTATGGAATGTGAAATACTTTGACTAAGTCATTGAGCTATTTACTTAAACCTAATCTCATTTTTCTTTAATGAAAAAAACCTCATTTAGATCATTCTTATTGTCAACATAGTCGTTATAAGCATTGTTTTAGAGACTGTCAGGCCAGCTGGCATTTTCTGTAATAACATTAATCACAATGAAACCATCAGCCATTTCATGGGAGTATAATGAAATCTGATAACAAATGTTAACCTTGAAAAGCTATCTAAAAAAGTCTCCAAGATTTAAATAGTGCTCCAAGTTGTAATGCGCTCAGCTCATATTTCCATGTAGTAAATTACATTGTTCCAGTCTATCAGAAACAGCCCAGTCCGTTCCACATTCTTCACTTTATTAGGATTTAAACTGGGAATTAAACGTAAGGAAACATAAGCCCAGAACTCAAGAACATCACTCCAGTAGCACTGTGTTCTCCCTCCCTCCCTCCCTGTCTTGCAGTCTCCTTCTCTCCTTGCTCTCCCTTTCTCTCCCTCCCCATCACTCTCCTTCTCACTTTCTCCTTCTCTCCTCTTTTTTTCCCCATTTCTCCTTCTCTTTTCCTTTCCTCCGCACCCTCTCCCCCAAAAAACTTGCATTTCAAGTTATCTAGATGGTGCAACTTAACACACATGCAAACGTATGTTTGAACTCTATCTTCAAACAGGACTTTGGAAAGTATCTGACTTTGGTTAATGAGGAAGACTTAGTCACTGATCTGGGTCTTTCAGATTGCTCTCAAAAAGCATTTTATTTCTCTCACCATTTTCAGAGGAAAACAGCTTCCACAGGGGATATAAAGACCCTCCGCAAGCCTACAAACAGCCATGTGCTGCTTCTGTTAGCATACACTATAGTACTGAAACAGTTCCCAAACTTCCAAAAGTTGAGTGCTGACAGCAACTCAAACGAATGATTTCTAAGCTCTACAACTCCAGTCCCACCAGTTTTTATTAAAGGCTTACCCGCCTGAAGTCAGAATTGCTGTAATTAGGTTTCCCTCTGAGAAGAGGCAACTGAAGTCTAGTGACTCATTTCCTCTCTCCAACATCAAATAATTTAGCTTCTGGTCCTCACCCCCAACCATCTAGCCTACACGCACATTGGTTTGCTCGAGGCTGTCCAAGCGAGCCAACCAATCTCCTCCAGAACAGAACGCAGGGTTTGCAGCAGGGCTGCTCACCCCAGGGACCTCTCCCCACCGGCAGACACACAAGCTCTCAGCAGATCCAGCTCCAGGCCTGAAATGCCAGCGAGTCCTTCAACACCGCTTCAGTAGCTCCTGCACCACCGAGCAACCCTAAATCTCTCCTGCCGCATAAATTCCAGCGCTCAACATGCAGCCTTGCGTTGCTATGCAAGAACAACTCTGACCACCTCCAAGACCATTCCCACCGTCTACGTACTTTGATGTAAAAACAAAAACTGAGGACTAAATCTTGGAGGGCACCGGGACACCACACGAGGGCAGGGAACAACTAGACCAGGTACTACCCGTAACCTCTGAGATGCTGCAGCAGTTCTAATATCATCATGGATGGACTATCCAGCACCAGAACCAAGCGGGAGGTCTGAAGGTGATTTGGGAGGCGAGGGAAGTATGGTAGGCAATTAAAATGCACCCTAAAAAGTCTGATTCTCAAGTTAAAATGTTGAAATTTCAAAAATTTATGAAGGTTTTGTTTTAAACAAGTAAGAGTGCTACCAAGTAGGCACTTGTGTTCTCATTTCATTTTTAAATGCAAGCTGTCTGCATGCAAAGCAGCTACAAAACCAATGCCTTCTACACTTCCCGTTAGTGGTCCATCCTTCCATTCAAAGACGCTGCTATTCCACGCTCATCCCGTACTGAACAGTCTCACGCTGCATGAAGAAAACTCTTTTTGTTGCTTATTATATATCACAAAAAGCAAGTGTTTGTGTGGAATAACAGTCAAACAAAGAGAAAGTAAGGAACTACTGCAATTCCTTCAGCACTTTTTCTTTTTTTTTGTTTGTTTTGGGTTTTGCCTTTTTTTTTCTTTTTCCCACAGACAAGTCCTTAAAAAAGGAAACTCTTGGAATCACTAATTACTAAACTCCCACACAGACATTTAAACATTTATTATCCTAACTTTAAATAGCTTGAGGAGACAGGGAGACGTCTTATTCCCTGTCCCCAAGCAGCAATAAACAAAGACAACACCTACCTTTAACAATTTGCTTGGCACAGGCATTATAAACTTGTTCCTGGGTTGTATTAGGAGGTAACACTCTGTCAAAGACATACGGCTTCCCTTGCTGCAAACAAAAGAGAAACTCTGTAAGATAAAGAGCATTTAAAACAGTTTACAGACCCAATTCAACAGGCATCCTGAAATGCAGCATTTACTAGAAAGGAAGCCATTCAGTGCAACGGAGACGACAATATTTTGTTGACTAAACAGATGTGACATCTTGTGTGCTCCAAACCCATCTTTTCTATAGCTGGCAAATAAAACGCGGCATATGTTTTCTGTGTGCTCACATTTGGGTCAGCAGCTACAGTTGCAGGAAAGAATAAGCTGAAATATCAACAATTGAAAGTCGATTATTTTCTCCCTCTCCTAGGAGTTAAGGGGGAATAGCCATATAAATATTTGCAAAAGATTTGCTGTTCATTACTACAAATTAGTGAGAGCTGTGATGTGAGAAACAGCAATCAGACCCGAGAGAACCAGAAGTTTGCAGGTCCCGAGAGCTGCCTTCTGCTGAGGTCGGGCTGGACCAGCACCCCCCAAGCATGGTCCCAGCACACTACGTGTTCCTTCAGCACAAGTAGCCTGGTTTCAATTCTGTCCTAAACACGCAAACGCATGCCAGAAAACCACAGGTTAGACCCAAAACAGGCAGCCCAGTCTGACTGTTATGTTGCCCGAAGCCTGTATTTTATTCAGAAATTGTCATGATTTTTCTCCTTAGCACCAACCAATAACAAGATACCGTGTGGACAGAGCTCGAAAACGATGTTTTGAATGGGATCGGGGCCATTTCCAGGTTGTGAACCACCACCGTCTCACCACAGACACTGAGCTGCCCTAGTTCCCAGGTAACACCACGACTGACACTTATTCCTATGTATATACGGTGTAGCACAACTCGAACATAAGCTTCCAGAAAATTTTGATTCCTCTTTGTAGCAAGTATAATTGCTTACAAGAGAAACACATATTAGCAATCCTAAAAATAGGTTTGCATGACACTTAAAAAGGCAAATCAATTCTTAAGACAGCAGCTCAGCTCCTTACAACTCAAAAACAAGCAAGACATTTGCATTTAAAATATGACTCCTTTATTTAAAGTTACACTAAGCGGACGTGTAACATCTTTCTCATCTTCCATCAAAGCCTGTAAAATTTCCCTTCGAAGATGTGACACCTGCTCCGAGAGCAGCGTAACAAGGGCTTCAAAGCTAACTAGGAGGCGGCTGGATACCTGATGTAGGAGTCTTGTTCTGTTGAGTCGACGTGCCATTTCTGCCATTTGCAGCCAGCTGTTCAAAGGCTGTGCTCAATTAGCCGTTTTTGTCACACTTTGATTTTACTTCAAGCAGAGCATAAGCTTACACTTGCCTGCTCCTTAAACTCGGGTGCTTTACACCCGTAGGAGAAAAGAAGACAGAGAGGTGTTTGCCTGCAATGTGCGTTCTTCGCGTTTCATCCCAGAATTTCAGATCTCAAGGACACGAAGGCAATTTATAAATCGTTTAGTAAATAATTAATGGTCTTGTGCTGGCATGGGGTGAACACTGGGCCATCCAAGCACCCCACTTGGTAAGACACAAGCCCAAAGAGACAACTCAGACCAACACCACCAACGCAGTCCCAGCCCCTGGGAGAGCGGTGGGATCTCTGGAAGCACTCGGCTGGCACATACCCCAAACTCCGGGTCTCTCCACAGCTTTCCACGGACAGCACGCCTTGTGTGGCTCTCAGTTCGACAAAGCTCTTTGCTCCCAGCACGAGAAGGACTACCCAGCCCTGCTCTAACTATTCGGGAACAATTTCTCAAATGGACTTTTTACCTGCTTACCCCCATTTTGCTTATTCCAAGCACTAGACAATAAGCCCTAATGCAAGAGGCCAAAAAACCACACAGACACACAACCTCAGCCATCCACTTATCTCATTTATTTCCTTCACGCCTGAGTTGAGGTTTATTAAGTAAGCAGTGTGAGAGAGTAGCAGAGAGCGATGCCACTACATCATCCTGCCAAGGCAAACACAGCACTCCAGGCTAACATTGCTCTGGTGCAATCAATCCAGTTCTTCTACGGAGCTCTCAACAACGATAAAGTCAGAGAGCCCCCAAAAAACAATCGCATCATAATTGTGCTGCACGCAGCTGAAAGAAGCGCCGTCTGCAACTGTTATTTATCTGCCAAACTGAAAAGCTACAAACATAAAGCAGTAATTCACAAACGTGCTACACAGGTCAGATATCTTCCTTGGGATTTTTGTTCTGGGAAGCTAAAAGACTGGAACACCCATCACTGATATCTGAAGAAAATAAACGCATGTGAAGGATCACAAAGCACCTGTCACCAACCACACAAAATGAGCGCGCTCCATTACCCAAGCAGCACTTACGGGTTTTTGGGGAGGTTTTCTGTGCTTCACCTCCGCATTGATCTTAGACAAAGACAAGTCAAGGCTCACATTCCTTTCTGCAAATGGGGGTATGACAACTGAGCACGAATCCTCTGTCTATCCTCAGTTTGAGAGTTTACACTTCTTTTGCTCTGCCACCATTTCTCCTCTGCCCTAAATCCTCTCAATCGTGCTCAACCCTCTTCTCCCCACCTATACTGCTCCCCGCTCCTTGGGCTCCTCATCCTCCTCCCTCTTTCTTTGTCCAGAAGTTCCTGCTTGGGTCTCTGATGTTGTAGATATGTTGGGCATCCCCCGTGTCACCCCACTCGCCTTGTTCAGCTTTCTGACCCTTCCGTCCCACCAGCGATCCTTGGAGTCCTCCTCCCCACCATCTCCCCCCAGTTCCAGGCTCCTGGTAGCAGGCCATGACCTTGGTCTCCTCTCCCACCGGCTTGTCCCTCACCCCTGCCACGTCCCAGCCCGCCAGCCCACAGGGGAGGCTGGGTTTGTTTGGTTTTGTTTTGGAGACTGTTATTGTTATAAGCTCTTCGTTTTTGACAGACTTTCCCCACAGGTAACAGAAGCCATATCCATCCTACAAAGGCAACATGTTGGCAGAATCCAAAGGTTTCGCTCCAAAACAGAGAGGAAGGGTGAGCAAACATGAACATCATCTTATTTTTAGCATGTTCCCAAGCAGTACTTTTTCCCCTATTGTCATGTTCAGAAATAACACAACTGCTTTTATTTTTTTTTCAAATGTAACTCAGCTTGAATTAAATACCAAAATCAGGAAGACTTCAGCTTTATTAGAACTTATTCAAGAAAGTAATAAGCAGCTAGAAATAAAGTGGTTTTTTCTGAGTTGATGCTACGGGTTTTATCTGTGTGCCTCCTCCATACATTATTTTTCAAACTTTCTCATTCTACGCAGTGTATTCTCTCTCATACACAAATCACATCTTCCTTCCTATGCCACTACTTCCTACAGTCCCTCTGACAATCTGTTCCATTAACTTACGCCACTGCTGCATAATGGCTAGGATAAGTGCTCCGATCCACCCACGTAATTCCCATTGAAATTGTATTGACAGCAAGATGGATTCTGTTTCAGCCCTTCGATAGCACGGCGAATGCTATTCATATGTACTGCCAATTATTATTTCACCAGCTTTACGTTTAGAGTTTCCTATCAAGTTTACTGGCTTGGCATTTAAAAAAAAAAATCAAGGATTTCATAAGCACAAAAAAGGATCTTAACCATAAATGCGTGTGCTCCCAAAAAACATCATTTTACAAGCAATGTCACCGAGCAGTACTATCACTAGAAGCTAATGCAGTCTCAATTACAGATAATCAAATACATTTCCTGCTCAAAAAAGAAATCTCAACTCTCCCAAACTCCACACAGACAGGAAATGAGAAGTGCTCAGTGCTCAGAGCGGCATGCTACGAATTAGGAACCTTAATGCAATTTCATGATTAATTCCCTGTGATCTTCAAACGGACGCTCAGGGTCGACTCCACCAGTGTATCTGCAGATTACGATGCTAAGCAAGACGACATCTGACTTTCAGGCACCCAAGCTTGGAGGCAGAAGCCACAGTCCAAGGTCCATCCCCAAAGTGCCTCTAAAAAGTGCCCTCACTGTGGGCAAGGTGAGGTGGCTTTGAACAGAATTTCCAACAGCCCGCAGCACGTAGCTCAGATTTGTAATTGCTGAAGTAGAAAGGAAGAGGAGAGCATACAAAATGCTGGGTTTCTTTGCTTTTTGAGGGCTGTAAGGAGACATTTGAGGCTGATGAGGTATTAGAGCCTGAAACCATCCCCTAGAATTAGAGAGACCACCCAGATTTCTCCCAGGACAGATGCAAGTTTGTTCTGCTTCAGCAGACAACAGCCGCGAGCAAGTTACAGGACGACCGGCAGTTGTGAACATGCCTAGTGCAGTTCTGACCCCAAACATACACGTTCTGCTGACGGCGGAGGCGAAGCTCATTCATACTTGCCTGCAAAATACCACAGCAGTACATCCTCGAGGGGGACACCGTTTTGAACAAGACTCAAGAAGAGGTCACACATTCATTTTTAAAAGACAGAAAAACATCCATCAGTCCATCCAAGGCTCATCTCCATGTATCCCAAGGAGCACAGAAGCACAGAGGCAGACTCCCAGGAAGAGGCACCCTGCCAGGGCTGTCCCTGAAGAGTATCTGCCCCACAGTCCGGGTGTGAAAGCTGTCAAGACAGCTCTTGGGATCACCTTTTGGATCGCTTAGGGGTACGGCACACATAATGCAATGCAGAGGAAGAATACTTCAGGATTGCACAAGAGTTAGGGGATGATTAGGGGAGGATAAAGACAAAGAAAGGGAGGGATGCAGGTGATCTGGGGAGGAACAAACGTGGGATGAAGGGACAAAAGCAGTCGTGGGATGAAGGGACAAAAGCAGTCGTCATGCGAGCTGGCTACTTGTCACTGTGCTTGTCCAGCCATGCCCCACACCCGATCAGCACAATCCTATCTTCTTAATTCCATTCTAACTCTTTTTCTGGGTGAGGGAGTTCATTCTGTGTGCTTGCATATGTGTACGGGGGTCTAAGCACCGGCAACTGAAGTGGGACCACAGGTCACAAGGTCCATGTGTCCGTGCTGCCAGCTGCATCTCTGTGCGAGGAGGTCTGGAGTGGTGCTCAGCCTCACCTCTGCCAGGCTGACGGATTCGGCTCTTCCTAACAACCGACAGTTAGGGCACTCAGCTGAAACAGGCAGATAGACTGTGTACACAGGGTCCCTCTCGTTCATCTCAGTCCTCCATCCCCTCAGAAAAGAGCAGGAGTGCTCTTTTCTCCACAACCCGGTCAAATAAAGGCATCCCCTTTATCCCTGTAAAAGGGATGCATCAGTCATGCAGTCATCAGCCGATAGCTCGGGAAAACTTTTGGTCCCTGCAGAAACAAAACAGTGCCAAATCACATGGCTCAGTTTATCAGATGAATCGTTTGGCAAACCGTGACTCCACTGAAACTCTGCCATTATTATTCTGGCTCTCTATTCAAGTCGAAGAGTTCTATTGATGCAGTTGGAATGAATGATCTACCGGTGGGTTTAACGTACCATACGAGATGCCACTGCCAGTACATAAAATGGATGAGTATACAGGTAATAGAATCATGTGACATGTAGGAGCTTATTTAATGGGAAATTATTTCCCAGCTACTTTGTGTTACCGTAAGTGCTCTTGTAGGAGAGGTTTTATAAATAAAAGATATATAATCGCAGGCCTGGAAGACGGAATTTTTCAAAGAGCAGAAAGCAAACGGTTACCAGCAGCAATTCAATATTTTTTCCAGTCGAGGCACATCCCTCGCACAGCACTGGGTTTCTCCCTTAGAAAGTGGCATAAAACACATTTCTTCCCTCTAGCCTACAGGAGTAGGAATTGAAGTCTTTACTCCCTTTGAAAATGTAGAGGCCACATTTACTGAACGTTGCATTAAACTTGCTCCATTCACAAGTGGGATAAACAGCTGGCCCTGCAAATTCCCCCTGGAATTAGACAGAACTTACTAGATAGAAGGACTTCTTTTCCCCACAAGTTATAGAGATACTGCAAGTAAAAGGTTGTTACTATTTTGCGGATAAAGCAGAAGAAATAAACAGGATCTCTCCCATTCTCCTGAAGCCATCTCTCTCTAGTGAGAGCTGAAAACATGACTAAAGACAGAGGGAGAAAATAAATGCACGTTAGCAAAAGAGTTCAATTTAGTTATGTTGTCCCTTTATTCAGTCATACTAAACGCTACTGCCATCCTATCCATTTTCTATGTTAGCTTGCCCTTTAAAAACGTTGAAGCAGCAGCAAGTCACTTAGTGGATGA